TGGACACGTGTTTGCTTGTTCCCTTGATTTAGAAAGACTTTACGATCCCATTTGCTATTGTTTTGTTTGCAAACCTATACAGCTAAAAGCTGAGTGCATAGAATATGGTGTCAGAATGCCAGTGAGTAGGCCTTTTTAACGCAAGTTCCAAATGTGAACATATATTGACAGTTACTTCCAAATGAGCTTTTTTTTTTTTTTTTTTAAATGACTCTCCTTCTCGGTTCAGAAATTATGCAGACAAATTCTTCCTTAGCGCTCAAACTCTAGCAACTGACTAAAATCTAAGCGAAAGTTTCCTATTCTGTCTTTTTCCACCTGGCTCCCGATTCCACCCCTAAAGACTATTGGGAAGACGTCTGAGAAAAAGGCTGTCTCAAGTTCCCCTCCACAGTATTCACTAAAGCTTTCCGTTAGGTGGAATAAAGTCTAAAGAATGAAGAAGGTGTTTCTGAAAGGGTCTCAGTTCCTACAACCCCCCTCAGGCTCCACTAAGACCCAGTAAGTTAGGGAAACCACTAGTCCTCCACTACCCTCTCCTGCATCCCTCGCCCCGCCCTCTGGTAACCTAGGTTACAGTCACGCCCTTCCTCTCTAGCTGACCAGTCATAAAGGCTGATGTTACCGGACAGGGTTTGCCTAGCTTGAAGCTCTTCGCTGGTCATTGGCTTTGAGTGTATGATCAGAAGCGGAACTGAACTAATTTCTCTTATTTATTTGTTTATTTATTTATATTAATTAATTCATTTATTCATTTATTTATACTAATTCATTTATTATATTCATTTATTTATATTCATTTATCAATTCATTTATTCATTTATTCATTTATTTATTGTATTTATTAAGTATTTCTGCCTCCTCCCCGCCACGGCCTCCCATTTCCCTCCCCTCCCCCCATCAAGTTCCCCTCCCTCTCAGCCCCAAGAACAGTGAGGGTTCCCTGCCCTTTGGGAAGTCCAAGGACCTCCCACCTCTTCGAAGATGAGTTTCACTACTGTGGAAGTTCCAAAAGCGTGAGTGAGGAAGTAGCTAGCCAGGACTTCCCGGTGGGGGGCGGAGACTCGCCTGCCAGAGCAGGGGGGAGGAAGTTACTGGCTTCCAGCTGCAGGTGGGACCCCCCAGGTCACCCCGGCTGTCCTCGGGGCCATGGTGCAGCCGAGACTTTAGGCGATCCCCAGGTGAGCGGCGACTGCGCCGCGCCCGACAGGGTGCATGCCGGTTAGCCGGCGAGGATGCAGCCCGCACCTGCGAGCATCCCGAGCTGCTGCCGCTGCGGCAGCCGCAACCACAGCGCGACCCGAGGATGCGGTGCTAGCGGCTGCTGAATTTTCCCCTGTAGAGAGCCAGAGGAGAAAAAAACCGAAGAAACCCCGCCAAAATCTCGGCTTGGTTCGTTTTTTGAGCTGATCAAAACTAATTTTTTTGTGAAAATGCCCTGCGCCTGTAATCGGAACAACTGGAGGCAATGGATCGGACCCCTGCTTGTACTTATTACCTTAATTTTCATCCTCGTCTCGGTTCCCTTTGGTGTTTGGGAAGTTCAAAAAAAAAAGGTAGGAGGGTCCAGCACCTCTACCCTTTTCCTAAGCTCATTGGCAGAATCCCTTTGTCTGCCCTCTCATGCTTGGGGTCTGAAAAACATTTTGTCTTTAAACATACAGACCCGTCTGATTTCATTTTGCCGCTACAACTGGAGGTGGGACCCGGTGGAGAAAATAGTCAATGTTGCTGCTTAGAATGCTTTGCTGATACCCATCAATTCCCAGAGAATTCTTCTTGAAATCAGATCTGCTGTGCAGATATTGATCTTAACCAGATAAAATAAGCTACCTTGAAAGCTACGTTCTGGATTTTAGAAGCTCTTCCTGAAACGAAAGGATTCCCTTTAGTTTGACTTGCATATTGTTTTTACGTTTGAAGTTACGTCTTTTGTTTCTTTCTTTAATGGGATAAAGTCTTATGTAGACCATGCTCTTTGAAATTTGCCTTGTAGCCTAGAATAATCCTCCAAGCACATTCTCAGCACTTCTGATTATTGAACGCTGGGGATGGAACCCAGGGCTGTGTGCATTTGAGGCAAGCAAGCATTCTCCCATCTGAGCGACATTCCCAGACTTGAAGTTACTCCTCAGTAAGAGAGAAGTTTTACTAAAGTTCCTTGTGTATTCATTTCTTCTTTCTTCTTTCTCTCTCTCTCTCTCTCTCTCTCTCTCTCTCTCTCTCTCTCTGTCTTTCTCAAGGGAAAAGTTTTACTAAAGTTCCTGTGTATTCATTTCTTATTCCTTCCTTCCTCCCTTCCTTCCTCCTTCCCCCCCTCCCTCTCATCCTCCCTCTCTTCCTTACTTCCTTCATTTCTTTCTTTTCTTAAATGTATTTGTTGGTGTATTTGTGGGATGGCCCGGTTGTGGATGTCAAAGGATAGACATGTTGGGGGAGTTGGTTCTCTCCTTCCTTCTTGAGTGCTGAGTGAGGACAGAGCACAAGGGATCAGTGCAGCTTTGGAGGCAAGCACCTTAGCCGAGCCATCTCTCTGACCCACCCTTCATTATGTGTTGATGTCATGCTGTGACATTAGTAAAGCATTGCAAGCTGGGTACCTAACATGTCCATAATATATGTATAAAGGGAACTTAGAATTATTGATTAATTAATAACCAGAAAGTACTTTTATTGAGAAACACTTATTTTGGAAGAGTTATGACATACCATGTAGATGACCCCTCCCCTTTGATTGTGGAAAATATTTTAGTTAAACAGTGTGTCTAGCCATATTTGTAGGGTGCTTTTGTTCACTAAACTTTTATTGGCTTCTCTTATAGTCCATATAGCTAATTCAGGCTATTAAAATATGACATTAAGTATTTCTCATTTGTTAAGTTTTTAGGTTATTTGAAATTTGTTGTCCATATTTGGGTATAGCAATCTTAATATAAATATAATTTCCTCATTTAGTAGTCCTTGGAATATAGTATAGAAAGGTGAGTGAAATGTGTACCATTTCTGCTTAAGACTTCTCTTAGTTGTGAGCTGCAGTTTCAAAGCGCCTCTAACCTTTCAGACCAATTCTGATCTGCAGTGTAAACTGCCAACACCCCAAGTCAAGTCCCTCAAGTTCTGATAGGGATGTCTAATGGAGGGTGTGCAGATGAGCCTGTCATACTGCACTGGATATGCAAGTCTAGATCTCAGAACCGCTTCAGCTGCAGATACTCGTTTTGTCTGCTCTCTCTGCCCTAAGAAAATGCCATAAACTGGACTGTGACGATGGCTCAGCAGGTAATGCAATAGCCAAGAAAGCCTGACCCCGAGTTCCCCTCTATAGCCAACATGAACGGTGTCTATGGCAAGAGGAAGGTAGACACATAGTTGCCTAGAAACTTGCCAGCCGTCTGGCCTGGCATATGCAGCACAGCAGCAGAAACAAGAGAGACCCTGGCTCACAAGGTGGAAGGAGAGCTGATTTCCCAGAGTTGTCCTCTGACGTGCACACATGCACTCACACCTTCACCCACACCTGCACTCATACCTGCACACCTGTACCCACACCTGCACTCACACATGCACACCTGTACCCACACCTGCACACCTGTACCCACACCTGCACTCACACACGTGAAAGCACATGTTTATGAACTGAGTGCCTTCAACAGGAATTTATCTTTTCACAGTCCTGAAAACTATTTTGGAGTCAGATATCATGGGGGCCAGAGGGGTTGCTCTCTGGGGAGGGTGCTCTCAGGTCACAGGTGGCCATGCTTTTGCTGAATCCTCAGGTTGTTGCCCATCTCATTTTGCGATCACCAGCCCTGTGAGACTATGACCTCATTTACCTAAGTCACTTCCCATCAGCCTTATGCCCAAATATGGCCGTTGGCATTTGAGGTTAGGTTTCAGCCTCTGAAAGGGGCGCACACCTAGGTACTCCCCCAGGTGTACTCCTAGGTATGGTCAGACTTGAGTCAATGCCCGCAGTTAGAGAATGCTTTAGATCAAGGACTCAGAGAAGGAACAACGGCAGAGGACCTGGCACCACTATTTCACAGGAAATTCAAAGAACAAAGTGAATGCCCGGGAAGGAGGGTTTTGGGGAACATTGTGACTGGTGTCCATTGTTGCCACCCTGTCTCATGTTTCACAAGTAGAAAGGTCATTGAGAGCTCAGCGATTTCACTGCAGTTGAAGGTCTAAAGCCAGAACAGAACTGTTTAAGTGGGAATGTGTGTGTGGTAGAAGCTTAGAATCCAGAGAATCTTTGAGTTTTGAAGATTTGACTCTGAAGGGCCCTGGGAAATGATAGCACCATGGGCAGAGAAGACTGAGATTACAAAGGCTTTGTTTTGTGTTTAAGGTTAGAGGTATTAGCTAGAGCATATCCTCAAGATCGCTCTCATTCATTCTGTAACTATGATTTTATTTAACCCTCTGAGAAATGCCGAGTACAGGAGATTCCCTCTGTGGACGAGGACACTGAGGCAGAGAGAAGTGCCCACAGCGCTGCCGTGCTGTGGCACGTGACTGCAGCGGTGGCTGTGGTGGCTGTTTTTCCTGTCGTATGGTTTATGACTGCTTGACATGGAACATTCCCCCTAGCAGCACTCTGGAGGACACTTGGTCTGCACAGTCCTTGGCACACACGGCGCTGGTCCTCACTCAGACACGATTCCGTGGGCAAAGATAGTATGGGAATGTTTTGTTTTGTTCGAGGAGGGTTCTTTTGGTTGTCCTGGAGCCTCCTCCTTGGACACACACTAAAGGTGTGTGCTCTCAACGCCCCTCTAACTCCAGGTCCAAGGACTCTAGCGCCCTCTTCTGGCCTCAGCAGATGCCCATACATGCACATACCCACACAGACACAAACATACGTAGAATTTTTTAAAAAGTAAATCTTTTTTAAAAATTGCAACTACATATTTTGGAAATGCCAAGCAGGATTAGAAATCAAATGAAAACATAAGAAATAAAAATATTGATCTTTATAGTTTTAATATCAGAATCTAAACTAATGTGTTCTTTTGTTTTTCAAGGTTGGAATCCACACTGAAGCATGGTTTATCGCTGGTGTCTTTCTGCTGTTGACAATCCCTGTGTCCCTCTGGGGGATTGTGCAGCACTTAGTGCATTACACGCAACCAGAACTTCAGAAGCCCATTATAAGGTCAAATCTTAATGTATTTGCTACTACTAGTGTTGACTGACATAACTCATACACGATATTAAATGTTATTATATGTTTTACTTTCAATAGGATTCTTTGGATGGTCCCAATATACAGTTTGGATAGCGTAAGTATATTTTATTGTATTGTATTAAGAATTCTTGGGCTGGAGAGATGGGTCATCTCTCTCTCTCTCTCTCTCTCTCTCTCTCTCTCTCTATTTTTAGATAGGGTCTCACTGTATTCCTGGCTGTCCCAGAACTCACTCTGGGGACCAGGTTGACCCTGAACTTACAGAGGGCTTCCAGTTTTTTGACAGAGGTTTCTGTCTCCCCCAGTCCTACAGCTGTTCAGTCTCAAAGAAACACACAGAACTCTACATTAATTATGAACTGGTTGGCCTATTATCTCGGGCTTCTTATTAACTCATCCTTATATCTTACATTAGCTTGTAATTCTTGTCTGTGTTAGCCACATGGCTCAGTACCTTATATCAGTGAGGCAGTTTCATCTTGTTTCCTCTGCAGCTGAGGGAGGGCTGCAGACTGAATCTTTCCTCTTCCCAGAATTCTCCTGTTCTCGTCACCCCACCTATACTTCTGCCTTATTAAAATACAATTGACAGGGTGCAGACCATTGTCCCACAGCACCTGTCTGTCTCCCTAGTGCTAGGATTAAAGGCATATAGCACTGCAACTGGCTAAGCTCACTTTTTTTAATGTTGGCAAAGAAGATAATGTAATGAAAATGAAGCTGTTTCAAATATTTCTAATGTGTAGTTCTTTTCCTGCGATTGTCCTAAAGACAATTGTAGGCATACTGCAGGGATGTATCTCTCACCACTACTCTTTAATATATGCTCGGAATTAATAACAGTGACAGCCCTGGAGGTTGAGGAGATAGGGGTGCAGATAAGAGAACCTCCATGAGTTCAAGACCAGCCTGGTCTGTCTAGTGAGTTCCAGAGTGCAGACCTGGGGTCAGGAGCTGTTTTACAGGTATCTTCCAGGATTGGCTGAACCCGTAACCCGTAGACGCAGATTCTCGAGGATCACTATCACACTTTTCTGTTATTATTTTGTCACCTCGCCCCCCAAAAGAGGAGAAAAAGGAAAGGACAAAAGACTTTCCACAGTGAATGTAACTACTCTGGTGGTTAGTTATAAGAAAATGGCTTTAGCCGGGTATGGTGTTACACACCTTTAATCCCATCCCTCAGGTGGAACTCTGTGAGTTGGAGGCCAGCCTGGTCTACCTAGTGAGTTCCAGAATATCCAGGTTACATAGACTGTCTGAAAAAAAAAAAAAAACAAGAAAGACACAGATGTCTTCAGGAGTCTTTTCTGTGATCATTTTTTCCCCTTAATTTCAGATAATGTGAGAACGCAATTAACTTTTGTTTTTATATTCCTTATTTGCCCCAGCACTTACCTGTTTTGTTAGCTGTATTGAAGCTGCTTGTTGCACATCAAGGCATGTGTTACAGGGCTGGAGATGCAGCTCAGTGATGGAATGCAGCCTTGCATTCCCTGGCCTCCTCCCCAGGTGAATCCATTCTGGATTATGGTAGTTTGCGGCAAGCATGAGAAACGATCTCCAGGCTCTAGAGTTAGCTTCTGTGAGTGGGGTGAATTCACGTTATGTCGGTGACAGGTCTTTAACGTCTTGTTTTCTCGTAGTGGTTGGCTTTGAAATATCCCAAAATCGCCATCTACGTGGACACCTGGAGGGAGTGCTACGAAGCTTACGTTATTTACAACTTCATGATATTCCTTAACAACTACCTGACAATCCGGTTCCCCAACTTGGTGCTCCACCTGGAAGCTAAAGATCAGCAACAGCATTTCCCCCCTCTGTGCTGCTGTCCACCCTGGGCTATGGGAGAGTAAGTATGTTTGTCTTTAATGGGCCTCCGCGTGGGCTTTCAGTATCAGTCAGCTGTTTTTATTATTTGTTGTTTTGTTTTCCATTTATGTTGGAAGTGAACACTCCAGTAGAAAAGTCCATCAGTGTACTGTAGGAGAGAACCTTAGAAAACATTTAGTCAGCATCCTTTTCACAGCTTTTCACACGGAGCAAGGAGCCTCCGTGATCTTGTCTGTGATCACACAGCTAATTGTCTCACTGCTGGGACAAAATGACTGACAAGAGCAACTAAGGAACAGAGTTTGTGGGGCCAGTCCATTGTGGTGGGAAGGCGTGCGGCCAGTGCACCTGCTGTCAGGAGGCCGAGGAAAGCCAGAGCTCTGCTCACCGCCTCCTCTGTGCAGTCCAGGCCACAGCCTGGAGAATAGGCTGCCACCCTCGGTGGCTCCCTTGTCCCAGGAAATCTTTCTGAGAACACATTCTTACAGGTACATATGCACAGTTGATCTGTGCCTCAGTTTCTCTCCTGGAGTATGTGTGTGTTAGAGCTTTCATTGTCACTTCTAGCAAAAATTTCTGAGGTAATCGGGTTTATTTGCACTGTTAATGAGATCATTGGGTCCTGTTGATTTGAGGTATGTCATGGCAAGATTGGGAAACAAGGAAAGACCAAGGTCCCAGTACTTTCTACTCCTTCTGTTACACACCTTGTGACTTTAATTTGGAGGCTTTGAGATGCTCTGATGCCACTGGATAGTTGAGCTTTGGTGTTCTCTTCTCTTGCAGAATGCTGACTTATTGGTGCAGATTTGGAACATTGCAGTATACTGTGATCAGAACAGTCACCACACCGACGGCGTTGTAAGTGTCACCTTTCTGGAGCTGGGTTTATTTTATCTTCTTGATACATGCCAGGGAATACAGCTCAGTTAATAAGAGTGTTTGCCTTGTATGCACAAAGCCTTGGGTTTAATTCCACAGAAACCGAGCCGGGCGATGGTGGCGCACGCCTTTAATCCCAGCACTCGGGAGGCAGAGGCAGGCGGATCTCCGTGTTGAAATAAGAGCGGCGGGGCTGCTTCCCCGGCACCCGGCCGCCCGCATGGCTAGTTTATACCCAGAAATAATTACACGGAAACTGTATTCTTTCAAACACTGCCTGGCCCGGCTAGGTCCAGTTTCTTATTAGCTAGCTCTTACATATTGTTCTAACCCATTTCTAATATTCTGTGTAGCCCACGAGCTGGCTTACCAGGGAGGATCTTAACCTGCATCTGTCTGGAGCGGGAGCATCATGGCGACTTCTCGACTAAGCTTCTTTTTCCCAGCATTCTCCTCTGTCTACTCCGCCTACCTAATTTTCTGTCCTATGAGGGCCGAGGCAGTTTCTTTATTAATAAGAAATC